CCATTAAAATCTTTTCTGATTAAAAATTTTCTAAGAGAAAAATCTGAAAGTACTGATTTCAATTGATTCTGGAATGACTTGAGAACATTTGAAAACTCCCCTTTTATAGGAAAAAGTCCACAAATGCATGCTAGGATATTTTTCTTAGCCAATAAAATAGGGCGCAGTTTGACATGACTCCATCCAGATCTCTTATCTAGAAGGCAGAATGCTATGTTTGTTGGTCTGAATTTGCTTTTGTGTGTCAACACCAATTCTTAGTTTGTGAACTTTTTGCCTTCTTACCTGTTAATTTACCTTGCATTTATTGTTTACTTGCTTGCTTGATATTATTTTATTTTTGTCCTGTTATTTTTTTTTTTTTATTGCAAACATTGTTAGTTCTGTTTGTTGGACAATTCTGTCATTTATTTTGCATTTGATCATGGTTACTCATTCCACAGCTTATAGGCCCAGCATGCTTTCAATGCATTCAGTACTTTTATGTCCATGTTTGCAACAAGCATGACAGATAATATTTTTATTTGATGGTGTGAAATTATTGTATTTTGAAGGGAAATTATTTACTGGGTAATTCCAAAATTTACTTTTGCAGTCAGGGCTTTTATGTCTAAGTTTACCATAAGTAAAACAGGTAGGAACATTAGTTTGTGCTTTGGTCTTGGCATTTGGAGAATCATTACAGTATTTTCACTGTTATTCTTCTGAATCATCTTTTCATTTTCTTCACAGCTTCACAATGCTACTTTAAATTCACTAAACATTAGTAGCTTGTCTTTCTGAGTAATTATAATTGTAAATGGCTTGTAATTGGACAAGAGACTTTTTAGGACCATAGCTATTAGTAAACCATTGCTAATTACCTCCCTGGAAGTTTTTAATATAGTAGCCATGTTTTCAGCTCTAATAATATAATCAGCAATAGCTTTAGCAGTTACTTTGCATAGGGGGGTTAATTCAGTATACAAGTGAATTATATTTCATTTTCCTTTTGATAAATAGTGCTCTTTCAAAAAGTGTAGTACTTTTTTCCTATCGTCAGGAGCTTCTCTTATAATAAGAGACAAACTTCAATCATTGAGAAATTGAATTAATTCAGCAAATGCGTTTACATTCTTTTCACAGTAGTCTTCGTCATTGGAATGATCAAATGGTGCCAAGATTGTTTCCTGTAATTTTTGGATTCATATGTAACCCAAAAATTTTACTTCTCATAATTCATATTTTGATTTGTCACCATTGAAACAGTGTCTATTCCTGGGCAGATAACCTGTGCCATTATCACTTCTTAGGTGTTTTATAGAACCATACAGAGCAATGTCAGCCAAATGTATCACTTTTTTGTTTCAGAAAGTAAACCATAATTAGACCAGAATAATTGTCCATGAAACAAAGTCTATATTTGAAGCCATTCAAAGATCTTGGTTCAGTCAAGCCAGCTAAATGACAATGAACAAGGTCTAATATTTTAGTTGCTTTTTTGTTGGGTAATTTACTTTAATACTGTACTATTTTACCTTGGATACATAGTTTAAATCTGATTTATTGATAACTTTCATGCCTTCCACAATTTGCTACTGAGACAGGAGTAAATGGTTGTGTCATCAGCATAAATGCCTACTTGAGAGCCGATGACATCAGTAAGATCATTGATGAAGATCAGAAACAGCGTAGAGGATAGAGCCTTGGAGGACACCCGCATTTGTGTGAAAGAATCTGGAAGCAAGCCCGTCGAAAATGACCTTCATTTCACGATTTGATAAATACGATTGGATTAAATCAAGCAATTGTCCACTTATACCGTAGTCCTGGAGCCTATGTAGAAGACTAGCATGCCAAGCCCTGTCAAATGCCTTCAAGATATTTAGAGCCACAGCTTGATCTTTGCCATTATTATCAAGAGCTTGATATATCTATTCAGTGATGGCTGTTAACACATCAGCAGTAGACCTTGCAAAACAAAAGCCATATTATTTGTCAGAGAGTAGGTTGCAAGAGGTATGATGCTTAACCACTCCAGCATTAATTAAAGCCTTGAATACTTTACTGAAAAGTGGTAGGAGACTAATAGGGTAATAGAGGTTGTCAGAAGGTTCTCCAGAATTCTTAAAAACAGGAATTACAGAGGAGGACTTCCAACAAGTGGGGAAAGCAGGAAGCAGTGAGGCAATAGTTATAAAGTTTGGAGAGAACTGGAGCCAGCTCAGGAGCACATTTCTTTATGATGACAGCTGGGATCCCCTCACCTCCATTTTCCTTATGGGAGTCTAATTTAGAAATAATGTCCGAGACCAGTGATGGGGTCATGTGCATATCACTCAGTAGAGCCTCTGTTTTAGGGGGAATCAATGAGATGAATGCAGTTTAACTTTGTATTTCCTTGCTGGAATGAAAGGGGGAGACTTCAGACACACATTTATGAACAGGTTGATTAAAAACAGCATTCCAAGGGATGTCATGAAGGAAGTCATAGAACAATTCCCAATCCACTCGTTGATAACAGGAAGATGTTCTGTTGGTAGGAGGTTTTTAGCTGGTAAGAGAGGGAAAGAGATGTTTAAAGACACTACCACATGATTAGAATTGCCAAGAGAGCAGAGCTGCATAGTAGGATATGAGTCAGGGATAGTGGTGAAAAAAGAAATCTAGAAGAGAAGCGTGTCTATCAGAGTTACTAGGGAAATGCTTGGGGAAGTCTACTACTTGTGTGTGAGAGATTGAGAAGTCAAGGTTTGGATGATAGCAGGGTCAGTGACAGTGTTTTTAAGCCGCTTGGTATGGTGGGCATAAAACAAATATATTTGCAAACAGGGTGTAGGGAGATGGCCTTGTCTATATTATCAGAAATACTATTTAGCATGGAACAGTCATGAGAGGAGGGGGAATGGTAGAGAAAGAAGAGATAGCTGACTTAGTAGACAGTCACATGTAAGAGTGGTGTGGAGATTCAAAAGAGTTCCCCCCAGCTAGCAGGAGATGTTCATGGACATAAACTCCCAGGCCATGTATGTGGACATTAGAGTCCTTCCCAAGGAGAGGAAGATAGCCAAGAATTGAGAAATCAGAGGATGGAATTGAAGAGTTAAGATGTCCCGAGACTTTTCAAAGAGGAACGATTCCACACTGCTGAAGTTGGTATGAATACCATGAATGTTGGAGAAAGAAAGGTTGAGGGGTTTAAGTGATTTTTGTTGAGCTGGTTTAGTTTTATATCTTTGGTAGCTTATAGTCACAGTGTGTTGTTTTAGTAAAGGTGGTAAGACTGGATTGATCTCCTGTGTGTAGACCTGGGCAATGGTATACAGAGGCCATGCACTTTCCAGACCATGGCCTTTTCACAAACATACTGACAAGATCCAAAGGAATACATGGCATCACACTTGGTTGTAGGAGTTGCTGGAAGGCTCTCAGTATTGACAGTCAACTGCCTTTGGGGATCCATGCTGGATTTTCTGTCTGGATTTATTCCATAGTTTTTCTGTGTTTGGATATGGCCACAAGGCAGTAGAGGTTTAAAATAAAGGTTTTCTTTCCTCTAGATTGATTACCTTTCTGGGCTGATGAGCTCCATTTGGCTAAAGCAGCTGGTGCAGTGTATACACTTCCCATTTTATGCAGATGCTTTTATTTTTATTGAAATATATTTTGTGTCTGAGGTTTGATGTAATGTGATTGATTTTTATGTGATCTTGGATGCTTGTTTTTTATGTTTAATAGGAAATGCAACAAAAGACAACACATGAAATGCAATATCTAAAAATAATTAAACTGATGACATAAGAACCAAAAAACAGCCTTAGAACATGGTTAGTGGCCGAAATTGTTTAGACATATGAAGATATATTTAAAAATATGAATTAGAAATCAGAAAAATGACTGTGAACATTAAAATAATCAATGGTTAAGAATCTTTTGGTTTTCAATCAAATGTACAAAAATGAAAAATTGCTATAAAAATATATACATATATATGTTATTTTTAATTTATTTTGTTTAAATGTTATTTTGGATGGATAATCATACTGGAATAGAAGCTCTGTTTCTTCTTGAATATTGAGGCTGGTAGATGTAGCTGGATAAAAACTACCAGAACTTGAAAAAAAATAACGTTTAAACAAAATAAAGTAAAAATAATGTTGGATTTAATCCATTTCCTATATATATATATATATATATATATATATATATATATATATATATATATATACACACACATACACACAAATATAAAAGTGGAAACTGTGGTCAAGACTGAGCAGTGACAGATTTTCATGCCCAAACACAATCTTCAAGCTTTTGGCTTGAAATGACATGATTTTCCGCTTAATGATAGCACTTACTTGTAAAAAGTAATCTAAAAAATGATACTTACGTTCCTTTCCCAGATTTGAGTTGTATAAACATAGCAAATTTTAAATAATATATATAATTCACACTATTTACATTCAGACTATTGTCTTCATCTTTGTTGTTATAATCCCATTTCAACCGTTGTGTCCACTTGGCCTTTTTCAGGTATCTGCCAATCCAGGTAAAATTCATGAAATTTCAAATTGAATTCTTTATTTAATCTATTGTGGCAGATTGTTCTAGTTCTGCTGTCCATGTCTTGGGATATCTTGTCTGGTTCTTATTTTAGCACTGCTCAGTTATTGATAGTTCGATTTCCACTGATTCTACCTCGCTCAGGAATTGAGCTCACAATTACTTTCTCGCCAAATTCATGAAATAATGCTTTAATCTACAAGGCTTTATAAATAAAGCATCCAGTTTGAAATTGTTACCAGGATTGACAGACATTTAAAGAAAGTTGGAGGACACAACATCTGAAATATGATGACAACAAAGTTGAAGAGTTGAGGAGAATATTCTGAATGAAAACAGAATAAATAATAACTCATCCCAGAAATTCGGACAAAAATCATATATGGTAAAAATATAGTTTTAAGGTATGCTATAATTATGGGTTAAAGAGAGTATGTAAATATAAAAGTGGCTTATGGCCACATTACATTGAAAAACTGGCTCCCATAAGATCACTGAAGTTAAGCAATGTCAAGCCTGGTCAGTACCTAGATGGGTGACTACTTGGGAATACTAACTGCTGTAAATTTGGATGTGCAAGTGGTGTGATGGATAATGTGTTGAAATTGTTATTCCAAGAGCCGAGTTTCAATTCCTGTTTGGTTCATTATATTCACTCACTCACAAATACCCTTGGGAAAGGTATGAATCCACCTCTCCACCCCCAGCTTTGGGTTAATTAGTAACACTAAACCATTACTATCTGAAAAAAAGAATCTAAATCTAAAAATATTTTCTGGCTTTAAATAACCTGAAAAGGGTTGATAAGCTGTAGAACATGAATCAATCACTCAAATATAAAAGTGAACATCAACACCTAACAAGTCTGTTTTATGCTTAAATGCATATCCTGAAGATTCTGTTTAAACATGAAATTAACTGTTGTTGCTCAATGTTCGCTGTTATATATATATATATATATATATTCACACATTATTTCAATTTCTTTCTTCCTCAGGTGTCATGCGTGGTACATGCTTTGATGATCAGGTCTCTTTTCGTTTGGCAGAAGGATTCCTGCAGTGGGCTTCTGTTACTTTCTGTGGTAGGTTGGCTGCCAACCAAGACTTTAGGATCCAGTCTGTCCTGCTATTTAACCTATAGCTAGGGGGAGAAGAGATGGATTTATACCTCAGCATGTTTATTACTTTTGAGTTAAGATGAGGTGAGGTTGTCAACAACTGGTATATATCTTTGTTCCCCGTGGTATGTGTTGGGACGCTGGTTGGAATATGTGTATGACCTCTTCCCAACTGACTCTAATTGTGTCAAGGGCCCCAATTCATCTCAAAATGCTTGAAGATCATTAACTCACCTCACCTTATCTGCTAGCTAGGTGGAGAGTTCTATCTAAAACCCTACAGTATTTTCTGTCTGAATTTTTGGGATGAGAAGTTTTCATTATTTGCACTATTGATATTCAGACTATTGTCTGAATCTTTGCTGCTGTTATGTTTTGGCTGTTGTGCCCTCCAGCCTTCATCAGATATATATCGATCTAGGTAACGTACAGGGAAATCTGAACTGAACCCTACTGTTCTTGTTCCACTGCCCATGTTATTTTTTTGGCGGGGGTACTGCTCACCTGTTTCCACTGAGTCCAAGTACACAGTATCCAGCCCAGGGATTGAACTCACAATTACTATGTTACCAAATTCAAAAACAAATGCTTCAGTCCACTACATTATTGTCCTGTTGGTATGTTACTAAATATTTCCCAATACACCCCATGCCTTCACTATGTCCTGTGAGTTTCAAATTTTCCAAGCCTTCTTCCCGCAATATATATCCCAGAAATTTTAACTGTCACTTTTGATTCTAAGTATAAAAATAGTAACTTTATTCAGTAATAGGACATTATACTATTGAACTCTGGGACTTTACCACTTACAATATTCCTCAACATTTTAAGAACATTTTACTGTCATAGAACAAAAGGTTTATTACAAAATTGCTAATATGAACAAACTTTATTCTATTTACATATGAAATTGTTTTTGGGGAATTAATTACAGTTGGATTAAAATGAAATATAATGTGCTTGAGCCCCAGGAGACAGTTAAACTTAATACCTGGTGCCTGAGGCATCCCTAAAGATGACATGCAGAATGGGCTTGAGCAATTTTTATGTATCCTTGTGCCAAGGTCAGATAACCAAATATGCATCTTGGTCAAGGGCCATAACTCATTTTAACACAGCACATTGGTCTAATTGTCTAACTCATTCAACAGTACACTCTCCAAGAAATGAATGGGTAAAAATAGCATACATCACTTACCCTTGCAGTAGAAGTCTGTTTTGAATCTTTGTCTTTAGAAGATGTTAACTTATCTGAACTTGTATTCTCTCCAGGGTGTCTAGGAACAGTTGGACGGATTCTGAAAGAGATGCAGGAAGCAAGGAACAGAGTTACAGATGTCTATCACATTCATATGCATGGATAAATTATAACATTATGTCTTTCACATAATACTTATCAGTGTTCATTCTTTTCAATTTTCTTATCAATTCCAAAAATTTAAAGCAGTGAACATTAAGAAACAAGTTTACAAAGATTGTAAAATTTATTTTTCTACTCTAGTTTTACTTGTGATAGTTGCACTGGGAGGTTTGAAATTTTCTGATTAAAATGTTGAGAATTAAATTAAAGGCTCCTCATTGATATTTGCTGACAAATTCTTTTAAAATATGAATTAAAAGTATTTTTATTTTTTTATAGATCTTCACACCAAAGCTTATTTCATATACGTATCTAAAGAGATACACATATCTATCAATTATTAACAATAAATAAAATGTTAACAATAGTTATTAGGGACTGATTAAAAGTTTTATGATGTCTTGGTTCGTCAGAATCAGATAAGAATATTGTATTATGGACACAACATATATTTATAAATTCTTATTAAATATGCTAACTAAATTTTCAAATTAAAAGTTTTTCTATACTGAAAATTTTAATTTCAAGATTACAATAACTCCATGCCTAAAGACCCGGGTTCAAATCTCACCAGGGCCAATTTGTCAGGAAGTAGACTTCCTGATGTTATCGGTCTGGAGGGAGCAATCCTAGCATATGGCACCTTTAGAAAGTGCCTGAAAAACCATACCACAGGTTGACCCAAGCCTTGTGAGTGAAATTGGGTAGATGGAACCCTTGGGGGCTGTCAATAGCTGTGCTAGTACAAAGTCAAAAGTCATCGTGGTTGAGTGGTGCTGGCCTTGTTCAGATTGTTGATCACACTAGATAACATGCTCTCTCCCAGAAACCGTAACTAAGGTCTGCTCAGCATAGTTGCTGTATAAACCACAGGTTGGCTCTGTGGGTGTTGAACAAAACACAAATGTGCCTGAACGAGCATCTGCAATTGAGAGTGGCTAGCCGCAGGTATCCTCAGATATGAGTGGCCAGCTATTTTATATATATAAATATATATATATATATATATGACATTATTTTTATTCTATGTATAATAACAAAGATTCTATGTTTTAATAAGAATTTGGTCATACTCAATGAATACAGTTTCCCCCCAAAAGCTATCTACAAACCCTCCACAACCTAATCATGGCAAACAACTAGTCCAGAACTATGAGTTTTCATCAGTAATACAATATGTGCCCCCCCCCAGTCCATTTAATTTCTCATTGAGAAAGGACACAGGCATGTCTAAGAATTCTGTTTTTTAACATCTTTTCTCATCATGCTTCTATCTGATCTAAAGACCTACCAATATACAATGAATATTATTATTATTATTATTACTGTTTGTTTTTTTATCTCTAATTTTTTCATCTACCTACTATGTATATGATGGACTCTCCCATCGGTTTCAATGTATTAGGATCTGACAACTTAACCAATTGATTCAGTTATAAATTTTATGCGATAATCTTAAGTGGCACTTAAGATCCACAAGAGATTTGCAAAAGAGGCTACATATAGAGCAAGAGTGAGGATTGTGGGATGAGATCACTGTTAGATTGGCTGACCTTTTAGATCTTGCTCTCGCTTCTTGAAGACGATTCAGACTATCAGAGTGAAAACCGCCGAGTCCACTAAAACACCTTGATCTCCACTCTACCCACTCCAAGGATAAGTGCTCAAGGGTGTTATGAGGTATATTGACAACTGACAAGTTGCTCTTCAGCTTCTCTTTGTATTTAAGCCATGGATGTCCTACATTCCTGTAGCTCTGATCTAACTGGCTGTACAATATGGTCTTGGGTATCATGTCAATAGACATTCTCAAGACAACCAATCCACCGCAACTGAGACTATTAGGAAAGTCTCAATTCCTCCAATATTACACTTGTTAAACAGGTCTACATTGGATGTCCTGTGTTGAAGGCTAACTCCACAGATGACACGCAGACAGCTCTTATATATGTGTGTGTATGTTTGTGTGTAGGCCGATGATGCACCTGATGATTGCATTGTACATTGCACTCAGTTGTGCTACGAGTCAAAAAAGAAAAAAAATATTCATTATTAATATGAATTATATCTCTGTTATTATACATGGAGTACTATTTTATTAGTACTAGAACTCATTGTGCGATATTTTATATAAAAACACTAACTGCAAGAAAGCACTTTTGTAAATATAGAGAACAAAAGAAACATTCAAAAGTTACCATTAATTTAAATGTTTATTCAATTTATGGAATTGACTCTGAACAAATATCAAAGTAAAAAAAAGAAACATATTCACATTTTTTTTATATACAAGTTTTTGTAAATACTGAGGGAGAAAAAAATCTTTGAAAATTTATTGTATTTAATAAGTGTATATAAGTATATGTTCTGCTAGTAATATATTTTTATCGGATCCTGATGGACAACATCTTGCAACCTTTAGTCATTCGTGAATAAATATTGTGAAGATTTTATTGGATGATAATAATAATTATTACTCTAGTTGTCTATTGAGAAATCTTACATTCTAAGCACTGCTATCAAAAATAAAAATGGGAATGTTATAAATTTTTTTGTATGTGAGATAGAGTTCAAGGTCAATCTGTGCCAAGTGGCTTCACTCTTCATACTTGAGCAACAGTCCAGATATTTTTGATCAGTGTGTGTGTGTGTGTGTGTGTGTGTGTGTATCTATGTCCTAGTCATCTGAAGATTGCAAGAGCATGAAACTTGAGCAATGGCTAGGGCTGTCCTTTGATAGGAATTGACATAGTGAAGTTTTTTTTTTGCTCTGTCTAGGTAATTTGGGTGTTGAGCACTATACTGAGGAGGTAGATGTTTCCTTTTAGGTCAGTTTTTCTTTTTTCTTTCCTTGTTCAGGATTTTTTTTCTTATCTAAGGTATTAAGTCTTCTGGCAAATTGTCTGTTGATTACACCAACATAGTTGTTTTTTTCTTTAGTGCATTTGTGTATGTGTGTGTGTATTTCGGTAGCAATCCTTCTTTTATATAAGTTTCATTAAAAAAACTGATAAGGTACTGCAGTTAAGTTTTTTATTTAATAAAAATAATATCATTTTTATTTAATAAAAAACTTAACCACAG